TTAAGTATTAGCATATAATGTAAGCATGTCTACGCATGCTTCTTCGTCGGACGATGACTCATATGTTTAGGGCGTGACGACGACGGTCAAGCGAGACCCTCGTGGAGATTCTCCGATGCCACGACACCGAGTGGCCGCTCATCACTCCTCATCTTCATCCTCTTTGGGCCGCCGCCGTACCATCAGTGATACACCTGATCTCTTCCTCACGATTTGCCTCATTATTTACGTGTTTATCCCTATGCCAATAGTGCTCATATATGTTCGGTGCTACTTATTCCTCTTTGGTGCAATAACAGATAAACTATATTAGTTCGGATCGGTATTCTATCAGTTTGCCAGTACGTTTCCGCGGCGCTACGCTTACTGGTAGCAGCGAGTGGTTCCGCCGAGAGGAGTGCAGGTGAGTGGTAAAATTATTCATAAAGCCCTGATGGGCCTCCACCGGTGACTTGGCAGCTCGACGTCTGAGAGAAGTTTATCGTGACCGTTTTGACAATTTTTCAAGGGCTTCCAACTTTTTTCCGCAACGCTGGCCAGGTTCCGGAAACTTGTGTGCCGAATTTTTTGAAACCAAAATGCCAAGCCACGATCTCTTTTCTCAGACGTGATTTCCGCAGTTCCCAGCAGTTTTATGCTGGTAGTTAGTGTGCACACCTGATGGTGGAAGTCCAGTGAAAAATAGAACGCCAAGAGAATGTTGAACCCAGCGTTTTGAATTGAATTTTGTGAGTGTTATGAGATGTTCTCCCGGCCGGTTGAGTTGAGTTGAGGTGCGGACTTATGTTTTACGGTTGTGTCGTGTTGTTGGCTCAGGCGTTCGCCCCCTAATTAGTAGTTGCGCGCAGGTAAGTTGAGCTGGGTGGTAATAGTAGTTGTTTGTCCGCACGGTACTTTCAGCAGTTTTATGCTGATTATCAAATTGCTCCAGCGTAGGGCTAATGACGATTGCTCAGCTAAGTCTGAGTGTAGTTGATGTTTAGCGATCGATCGCAGTTTCTTTTACCTTGTAGGGCACATCTGGCGACCTAACTTGGAATATTGTTTCTGACGCAGCAGACAGGCCAGATGGCAGGCTCATAATGCCATTAGTCTGAATACCAGAACTTCCCGAGTGCGGTTGCTTCTTCTATATTCCTCTGATATTAGATTTTACTCTGAGTTATGGTGTCCCTATTTCTCTCTAAGTGTACCAGTTTAGTAAGTTAATTTCCTTTGATGCGTGTTTCGCACACAGCTGGTGATACCATGAAATTTTGAGTTGAGAGCTGAAGACTCAGTTCCGAGCGCTTCCTTTGTCTTGGGAAACGCATTTGAAATTGAAAACGAACGCAGTGGCGCAATTTCGCTTTTGAAATTTCTCATGCTCAAACCTCGCAATCTCCTTTGTGCGCAACTCTATTCAAACGTTTCATTCCTTTTACACTCGACCTCGTCAATTGAAGTTACGCGTAGCATGTATTCGGGCCTTCCTTTGAGACTTAAGCTTCTCGTTCATTTCCCAGCTTAGTTTTACTAATTACGCTATGAGAACTCTGAACTTTCAAATAGGAGATCTATCATTGGATTTGGGTTTCTTCTCATGGATTCAATTTCTTTGGCGGATCAGATACAGTAAGATTGTAAGCAAAGATGTTTCCGAAGGAAAAGGTCACGGCCGCGTACTTTCTCATGACGAGATCGAAAGCATAGATAGCGAAGCTGAGAAAATGCCACAAAGCGGAAAAGCTTGAACTTTTTGCTTGTTTCTCATTACACCGAGATCGCGAGAACAGATATGGCAAAGAAACGAAGTAAATATAAAGTTCATGGCATTTTCCGTGTTCATTTCTTTCATTCCTTGAGATGGCAAACATAGATAAGGGTCTGAGGAAATACCAAACAGTTTTGAATATTCAACTTAAGGGTACCGTACTAGCCACGCCCACTCCTGAGACCGACCAAAACATCTGCCGTCGTTTCAAGGAAGGACGCCTTCGGTTTGAACATTACCAAGGACAAATCAACCAGGAGCTCACAGAGCAGCAGCGGGACGAATATATCCTCGCCGAGAAGGACGTCTCCAATACGATTGAGAAGATGGTGCGCATCATGTTTAAAGTGCGACCACCACACGTCATCTGCGTGACTACGGCGTCCCTTCTCAACACCTCGGGACCGAATGGATTATTCGAGAAGTACTTGGGAAGTTTCTCTACTCTAATCAGTGACGAAGCGTCCCAGATCCCCGAGCCGGTGCTCATCGCGATGGCCAACAGACTCCCTCAGGTTCGTCACATCTGCATCGGCGACGTGCACCAACTCGAACCTCATATCCGATGCTCGAGGAACTCGAACCCAGCCCGTTTCGGAGCGAAAAGCGTTATGGATGTCCTGATGAGATCCCGAACGGTCCCCGTAGCGTCGTTGGTCACCACTTTCCGTTCCCATCCACGTCTGAACGACCTGCCGAACTTCTTCGTTTACCAGGGCCAGCTAAGGAGTGGTGTCACAGAGGCTCAACGTGCACTTATGTTCCGCGCAATGCACCTCCCTGATGGACAGACCCCGTTTCTATTCTTAGACGTGGCCGGAAATTCGGAGAGGGCTGCGAGTCGCTCCTACTTCAATGAGGCGGAGGCCGAAGTGTGCAGAACGATAGTCCAGCGCTTACGAGCCCGATATATCGAACCTTCATCGATATGCATCTTGTCGTTCTACAAGGAGCAATTGCGCAGGCTGTTGCCGTTCGCCCAGAGAAATCAAGTGGAGCTAGCAACCGTCGACTCCATTCAAGGACGCGAAAAAGACGTCGTCATCTTATTGACAACTCGCACGGATATGACAGCCACTTCTGCCGAATTCCTGGACGAGTACAAACGATTGAACGTCGCGCTGACCCGGTCCCGCCACGGTATGTTAGTCCTGGGGCACACCGAGTCCCTTTGGAAAGTTCGGTCCTGGACCACCATCCTTCGTTGGGCTGACGAGCGCCATGCGATCATCCCTGCCACGGATCTCGGTCAGTACCTTCCAGTCGAATGATCTCGAGCAGCTATTCTGGTGAGAATATTTGAGCTTTTTCCTGTTTTTGGTTCGCTTTATCTTTGGTTTACTTTTATTTTGCCTTTGCTTCCATCTCCCGTTTTCTACCCAATTCGTCCTCCTCAGACTCTGTCAATCCCTAAAATTAAGTCCGAGGACGGACTTGTTGGTAAAAGGGGGAGGTGTAAGCATGTCTACGCATGCTTCTTCGTCGGACGATGACTCATATGTTTAGAGCGTGACGACAACGGTCAAGCGAGACCCTCGTGGACATTCTCCGATGCCACGACACCGAGTGGCCGCTCATCACTCCTCATCTTCATCCTCTTTGGGCCGCCGCCGTACCATCAGTGATACACCTGATCTCTTCCTCACGATTTGCCTCATTATTTACGTGTTTATCCCTATGCCAATAGTCGAGTATCAGAGCTCATATATGTTCGGTGCTACTTATTCCTCTTTGGTGCAATAACAGATAAACTATATTAGTTCGGATCGGTGTTCTATCAGTTTGCCAGTACGTTTCCGCGGCGCTACGCTTACTATAAAATAAAATGTATCCATTGCATAAACAGCTCTGATACTCGACACTGGACCATTTGAGCAAATCTGGGCGATTTTGCTTCAGTTTTGCGTTCAATTTTTTGACCTGAAAAACGAGCATGACTCGGCGTCCAGAAGCGCTTGGCAGATTTGGAAAGCAGATTTGGAATCATCGATTAATGCTCTTCAAAGCAGTATGGGCCTTATCTGGAAAGGCCACTTCGACTCGACACGGTTCCCTTGTGAGCTAAATATGCTTTCATAGTCTACATTATTTACAAGTTCGATTACAGGAAAAGAAAACATGTAGTTGCTTTGACTACAAGTATTCCATCAGTAAGCGACGTGTGATCTCACGATTCTTCAATTCCAAAGCGGTGCGATGACGTTAGCACTGTTATAGTACAACCATAGCCACAGGGCGTTTGCTGCGGCACAAAGTCCGAAGTACGTCACAGAAATTCCGACGCCGGAAATTAGGCGTCAAATTTGAATTACGGTGCAGCTACGGACCTAGAATTTCTTTGACGCCTAATTCGGACTACGGTAGCCCTGGTTTCTTTTGCGTTCTATAATTCTGTTGCTGGAACTGTGCCGCTTTGTGCGGCTCAGTTTGAACCCAGCCTTAGGCTGCGTTCATACTAATCCCGAAGTTCGGGAACAGTTTGAGCACAGCGCGCAGCTCGAGCGCTGTGGTGGAACTGTTCCCAAACTTCGGGATCAGTATGAACGCAGCCTAATGTCTCTTCCCAGCGATGATGAACACGATGACAGAGACGTGGCGTGAAAGAAGACAATCCCAAATTTTGTGCATCTATAGAGGTTTCGATTCTTATACTTGCTGCTGACTGTGCATGTATTTCGATGTTATTGTAAACGCTGCTCGAGAAGATCTTGTGTATTTGTTAATAAATTTCGCGTCGTAAGACTGTGTTTTATTAGCGGAAAAGTTACAAGCATAAGAAGTGGGACCCCAAAGAGATGAAGGACGTTAGATAAGTGAAAAGGGAGGCGTGAGAAAGGGCACAGAAGACGCAAGAACCTGTTAAATAAGGGTGTAGGCTGCGTGCTCTGAACGCGATCGGGACATTTTGGTGTCTCGCGCATGTGTCCCGATTTTGTCGCGTACTTTTGCCGCGACACAAAATAGGTGTCCTGATTTTACCGCGACACCGATTTCGCGAGTCGCCCAGGCATTCGTTGACGACACATCGTTTTGCACTGCGCTACTCAACCGCGAGTGTCTGAGTAAAAAATCTTCGGTGATAAGGGGCGTGGCGATAACGGGAGAGGAGTGGAAGGGGGAAGGACGAACACTCACAATAAATAATAGAAGTCAGGGAGGGGGTTTCAAAGTGCTTGCATTTTGCGGTGGAGCCTATTGCGACACCTACATACTTCCCTAACCTTGTCGCCTTCCGCGACCCTTCCCCCCCCCCTCCCCCACCCGGGGGAACGCGGGCAACTTTTACGTCTAGTTCATTGCAGCTTCTGCATTACACGAATCCCTTTGCTTGAGAGCGAAATTGAAACATTTGCAAATTCATAGCGCACTTGAATACTATCCTCGATTGTTCCTGATCAATGATATGAAGAAGAGAAGATTAGAAGAAGGTAATTCATTAGATTTTTACTACATTACGTACTAACATGGTCTTTTACGGAGTAATATTGCCAAATGATAGCAGGTTTCAGACGACTTTATAATAATTCCTTTCTTTTCTTTTGAACTTCACTCTATAGAAAGGAGAAACCTTCCCTAAGTAATTATTTGTTACTTTTAGATTTGCGGAGAGAGATCTCGAAAACAACTGATGTAGAAAAACAGCTGGATCTTCTCACAGACCTAGGTGACCTTCAACGATGCAACGGGGATTTAGAATCAGCTGTGGAGACATACAAGAAAGGCAAGACATGTTCTAGTTTCTCTTTGTGAAGTCGATTCACCTCCGCATTTGTAGCTGCTCAACTTGCCACTGCTCTTAGCAATCACTTGGATCTTTCTTTTGTGTACCGAGCTTTGGCGGAGATCAGTGCGGAGGAAGGTTGGTTAAGAATTTTAAGTTTTGATTGGATTAGGAATTATGAAAGATATTTGTAGGCGAGCGCAAGCAAGCTTTGGAATATGCTGGTCTATTTCGGCAAACCGCGCAAATGTGCGGAAGTTGCTCTCAAATTCAGCTGTCTCTTCATGTTTCTGGCTGGATCTACGAGAAACTAGCCATGCAGCAATTACAAAACACAGCTGATCTTGAAGAAGTGAGTTGGTGTTTTCAGATATCAACCTACCTCTATCTATTCATCTAAACTTTATTTTGGTGTTTGAAATTTATAGATCAATCAAGACCTGCATTTATCCTTCCAGGCTTTATCGTGGTGCCTGAAAAGTATAGACTACATCAAGAAAGCTGGCCATAGGATTGATTGCGATAGAAAGGCAGTGAGGGTTGCTGGAGACTCCGCAAGAAGAAAAGCAGGATTGGTTGGTTTTGATTTTTTTTTCTCGAAAATAGATCTATGACCTTTCAAGGAAAGATTGTGCTCCGGTATATGCGCAAATCTTCAACGTCGATCTGAAGCTGAAAAGTACTGGAATACAGCGTATGCCTACGCAAAGTAAGTTTGTAGTCTGTTTGCCTCATTATTCATTTTTGCTCAAAGTTTCTTTTCTTATCACAATTTTTACTTTGTGTATCTTTGTAAGATCTCATATGATTTTTGTATTTAGAAGAAACCAAGATTCCGAGCTCGAATATCAGCTTCTACTTGCCCGCATAGACTTTTCATGGGAATCACCACTGAAGAACGCGCAAAGACTGGTCAACTTTGCTCCTTCGAAGAAGAAGGGACAAGCAATCATGGAATTGGCGCAGGTATACAGCACTGCTACTTTTTCTGTGCGTAGTAGGCATTTATTTTAGGTTTTGACATTTGCCGGTGATTTTTTGGCTGCGCAGAACGCTCTTCTTGAGTGCCTCCTACATCACAAATCCTCGCTGATGCCTGATGATGCGGATCTTCTCGAGGCTAGGCTAATTTTCTGTGAGTACCTAATAATGTTGTTCTCGTTTTTTTACTCTGTCCTCTTTTTCAGTGTACAAGTACTTTCACAGACTGGACCGATCGAAAGATCCTGGCTGTTCAAGAGGTGAACGACGGAAGATGTATGAACTCATCGCTGACTCACTTTGCTCTTATGGGTAGGTGCCAAGAAATTCTTAATGGAAGTTCCCCTCGACTCTTGTCTCGAAATTCAGAGGTGACAGGAAGGAACTGCTGGAGCATGCAGTAAAATACTACAAGCTGATGTTTCAGTGAGTTTATCTTCATATGTAATTGAACATGAGAACAACACAGGAAATTGTTAGCCGCTTGTTGAGGGCTATAGCAAACCTATCCTGTTTTTTACACTATTGTTTTGCAGCATACACAAGTTAACTTAAATTTGACAGTCATTTTTGCATGACACAGAGCACTGGCTTTTATTTCCTGGTTTATGTCTGTCCATGTGCGAGTTTTTTTTTGCAGGAACAGCGTCACCGACAGAGAGAAGTGCACTGCTGCGATATCTATAGCCCAAACATTTATGGACCTCGAAGCATTTGATGAAGCGCGGGAGTGGTTCGAAAAAGTGCTTGAACTGGAGACAAGGATTGGAAAATCTGATGCAAAGGTTTGTTAGAGTTTTTGCGATAACTGATTGACTGCATATGTCGATTTAGCTGTGCCAAACGAAGGTGCTGCTGTTTGAGGCCAAATGTCGCCAGAAATTTTCTTCCAAGCTAAATCTTTTGGAAGAATTCGGCCAGCTGAACTCTCAAATACCGGAAGGGTATCCTTCGCTCAAAGTAGGATTCTTGTTGATTTTTATCTTGCAGATCTGCAGAATCAATTTCTTGAGTTAAGGCGGCTATAAATAGAGCCATGGGCCAGTTTTTCGTCCAAAAAGGTGATCGCTCAGAAGCATCCCTGTACCTTTCACGGGCAGATACGCTTCGAGATGAAGTGGATGTTGAGGGAAGTGAGGAAGAGGAAAATGAGGAGACCACAGACGAGCTGGATGCAAGACCGAACAAAGCAATCATGAGGGAATGTTTAGGTATGGAAATTTCTTTGTTGTCGCAAGATTTTTTAGTCAGTAGTATCTCATGAATGAATTTTCAATCATCTTCTCAATTCTATGTATCAAGTATGTGAATTAAGACTACTAGGTGAACAAATGACACTAAGAAACGCGAACGCATATAGTACTGCTATACGGATTTGATCGATATTTACATCTACTATTTGTATCAAACGTCCCACACTTTTTTTAGAGCTTGCACGACTAAGAAACAGCGATCTAGAAATAGAGAAAGATCGTGACAAAGAGAAGAATGCTCATGGAGAAACGCGACTGCATATTGCTGCGCGAAGTAACGACACCGCTATGGTAGAAAAGTTGATAGCTGCAGTAAGTTCTTGTTTATGACTTGCAATTGTTTCTCTTGTCTTTGGCTATCATAATTTTCTTCCAAATCCGCTTGAATGCTTGTTACATTTTCATTCAAATAAACAAATGAAGGGGATGCGCTGCTGTAAAATTGCAGGGATACGATGTCAACCGGCGGGATTACGGTGGTTGGACACCCATTAGTGAAGCCGTTTCAGCAGGAATGCGAGAAAACGTGCTGGCATTGTTGAAAGCCGGTGCGAAAGTTGATCCAGTCAGCACTGAAGTACTCAATGATGAGGAGAATTCTGTATGTAATCGAAGAAGGTTGCACTAGTTTGAACAGTACTGTGCATATATAGACTGGAGGTGGCATAACACCATTGATGGAAGCGTGTGATAAGGGGTTCATAGACATTGCTCGGGATTTGCTGAAACGTGGCGCTTCGGTAACGAAAAGAAATGCAGATGGGTGGACTGCTGTGGATTTTCTGAGGTTAGTCGATCAGGCTCTATCTGTGAAAAAAAACCATCAGTACAGGAACCACATAGTAAACAATGATGACGATGATAACAGCAAGCTGAAAGAACTAACTGCCTTAGCAGTTAGCATGGAGGACATGCAAAGGAAGCGTAAGTCTTTTTCAGACGATAGTGTTGAAATCAAGCATTTTATGTGCAGATGCAAGCATTCGCACGTTTAGAGTCGTTTCCTGTCCGAGGTTGTGCACCTCAGCTGAATGCGAGGAGAAATGTGAAACCTTTTGTCAAAACGTCTCGAACGAATACAGCTGATAAAGGAGACGATGATGCGTTGAACTCTTATAAGGTATTTTAATTCCTTGAAGACGAACTGAGGAGAGGAAGTACGGAAATCCTCGCAAAACTGTCCAGTGGCCGTATTTATCAACGAACCCCTTGGGTTCCGCTACCCAGTGAGTAACCGAAAACTGCCGCAGGATTGGATTGTTCGGCCACAATACGTAGCAAATGGCCGAACATGGATCGATATTTGCAGAAAGCAGTGCTGGGATGGCAAACCCACTACCTTCGTGAATACCGATGGATTTAGCCTACCCACTGATAGCGGAACCCAGTTCGTTGACGAATACGGCCACCGATGGCAGAAGTTTGCTATCGGCTGGTGCTTTCAACCTCCTTGCGTTTCAGCAGTATTTTTTAAACAATCAAAGTCTTTTTTAGCGGGCTATCGGAAGTATGGGTGCCCAGTCCAAGAGCAAGAAGAGGTCTCGTCAGCATGAGAGTGCTCTCTTTTACGAAAACGATGCGCTTATACGTAGCCCTTCGCCTGAAGATGACATTGTACTTCCGAGTGACTGTGAAAGAAGCCCTGATAAGGATCGAAGTAGCCGTGCAGATCTTCTCCGAACGCGAAGGTCTCCATCTCCCATCTCCATCTGCAGTTCTCCTTCTGTCGCCAGGGCTAGTGTAGGTTTCGTACTACCTTTGAGAATGAAAGCGTAGTCACCGTTTGATTCTTCTGTATTTAGAGCTCTTTCAATCCACTACCTATCGATGATGAATTCCTCATCGATGATTTGCCAAAGCGAAGGAAGCGGAAAAGTTGTGTTTCGTCTGATAAATCGCCTGCTGCTGAAAGAAGAGAGTCTAAACAGAGAAGGTGGAGTGGAATTTGTTCTGTAGAAACTGATGAAAATGCGCACAATTCTCAGAACTGCAACACAACCTGCTCGTATTAGAAGAGTCGCTGTTAGATCTCCCTCACCAGAAGATATAGAAGCATGTTTGCAAAGGTTTGATTTATCATAACCACCAAATCCCAATATTCTCCTCCATTTTAGGGAAACAACTTTTACACCTTCACCTTCATATTCATATGTACCTCAAACACAACGTGAGCCGGTGAATGAGGCTGCCTCAGCGCCTTCACAAGCACTGATCATCGCTACATTAAAATTTGAAGATGAAAGTGGAGAACCATTTCGACCAGACAAGCTGGTGACCTTTCCCAGGTTAGTTTCATGATAAGATAGACGAGTACAGAAAGTTCTACCCTAAAAGGTGAAAAAACCGTTTTATTGATTACGAATACTTTTGTAGTTTTCTCGGATAAAATCAAGAAATGGTACTGTAAATAAGAGTTAGATCCAGATAATGCTCTTTCCAGAATCGCAACAATGGCAGAAGCTGAAGAGCGATTTCGTTCTGAACTTGGACAGCCGGCTAGGATATTCACCACGCGTCTTGGTGACGGGAGAGAAGCAGATTCCGCAATACCTCTTCTTAGCCTGGGAGAGCCACTGACCATCATATGTAGATTACAGCTATCCGATAACTTGGGTAACGTCAGAACGGGTAAGCAGTCTTATCAGACTGCAGCTCTTAGGAGGTTTTTCTTTCTGTAGCTGTAGTTGGAGAGGACAGCACCAAGCTGGCTGGTCTTAGCATAAGCGATAAACTTGATCTTTCTTTGGCGAGACCTGAAAAAATTGGCCAAGTGCTGAGGACAGCCACTACATCAAGGCCAAAACTCAAAAGCCTTTCCCTTGACGGCTGTGGTCAGTCAATTTCATGTTATTTTTGTAATCTTTCTGAAAGTTTTTTAGATATCACAGAAAGTGTTCTTTCTCATCTGGGTGTTATATTGAATGACCTCACAAACTTAAGTTGCAAGTATGTGGGCCTCAATGATAACCAGCTTTCCACGCTTTGTTCGGTAAGTATTCCTGCTTTATATAGTAGCACTACTGTTTCCATCAACTATTTAGAAGTCATTTTTCCCTCAACTTTCATCGCTCAATCTGTCACACAATGAAATCACCTCTGGCTCCACTTTATCAAATTTTTTGGAAAACTGTACTCAATTGTCTGAACTGCACTGCTGCGATTTGGATGTAGTACAAGGGCAGGACACCTTGATGGACACCATCTCAAGTACATAGATTTTCGGAGCTTTGGTTATATCAAAAATACTTACTTTCCAGGGTTACAGAATCTTCAAGTGCTAGATATCTCTTTCAATAGTTGGGTCAAAGGAGAATACGTAGAGAAAATAATCAATTCGTGTGAGAATCTATCTACTTTGATATTGGATGGTTGCAACCTCGACGAAATATCATTTGAGGTAAGTAACGACGCAGACTTTTTTGGGGTGAAGAAGGTGAAGAGATTGAGCTAGGCATCGAATATACCTTCTTTTGGTAGGACTTGTCAAACTGAGGGACCTCCAAATATTTTTTTGAGGAAGGTTAAGTGCTAACTTCAATCACGATCCACTTCAACACTTTCTATGATCTCAATTTTTACACAAATCACACGTTGTTAAAAGGTAGAGTACAAAAGTATTCAGTATAATAGATTTTTCGATTATCTGCCCTACTGTCACAACAATTCTTGCAGTTACTTTTGCAAAAATAACTACAGGATAAGCAGTTCCAAAATGAGAACCAATATTTTTTCAACTGTACTTGCTGAAAAGTTGTTGTTACAGCCTACATGGTTGCCTAATCTCCGTACCCTCTCAATGGTTGGTTGCCAGCAAATAGAATACGATTCTTTGGTGGAATGGATAAGCATGGGTTCTATCCAAAAATTAGACCTATCAGGGACTGATATAACGCTGGACCATGTCAGAACTTTAGTGGCATCTAGAATGGTGTGCCCAGAAATTGCCATCAGATTAGTTAGAACACGGTCGATTGAAAATGAACCTCAAGCATTTGTCGACATGATGTTATCGTTTGTCACCAATAGTTTATCTCCGGTCCGGTTTGAGTTTTCTGCAAATTTCGCTAATGCTCTGCGGAATTTGACGGCGTTCGCTTCAAATTTTCTATGTTCTTAGTTATGTTGTACAAAGTGGGCCCAATGCTTGTTTTAATTCAATAAAAAGCTTATCACTTTTTTGGGGACCATGTTACAAAGCATATATTCTTCGGATGCTAATGCAGTGACAGAATAGAGACGGCACTGTGAGTTCCCTAATCTTCGTATGTTTATCGGTAATTAATGACCGCGTAGGTAGTACTGGCTGGAATACCTTTGGAAAACCTTCTAAATGCTTTATACGGCAAATTTCATTGAAAAAATATATGCGAAGCCAAACAGAATGTCTTCTTATTAAACAAAACCCTTTGCTAGACCTTGTGCTGATAAGATTACCTCGCAGTTTTCTCCTGGTACTTTACTCTTTTTGTGCTTTCGCAATTTCTTAGCAGCGTCAAGAAAGCATACATTATGAATGTCTTGAATTCGGTAAAAAGTGTATTAGTCAGCTAACCATCTCTGAAATTTTCCTGATGATGAGGATAGGATTGATGGAATTTACAAACTTTGAGCAAAACTGCATATTCAGAGATCAAAATCTGGCACAATCAAACCTTATAGGTAATATCTGTTCAACAACATACAGCCTGAAAGGTAAAAATCCACCGCTGGAGCGCACGAAAATAACATTTAAAGACCTGTATCAAGATACAAGGAAAACACATTTAGACAAGTATCACCAAGCTGAGAAATCTGTTAGTGAAGACTTAACAGCCTTCTTCTTTGCCATGACAGCTGCTGGTGACCCCTAGAATATATCAAAAAATGATGAGCACACTCCTTCACAAAAAAAAGAAGACTTACATCACTTGCGAGTCTTTTGTTTTGAGGATTTATATATTTTCCAACTCCTGTGGTAAATGCCTTGGGCTTAGCGATCGCTTCTCTTTTCGCGTCAGCTTCTTTTTGCGCATCTGAACAGAATGCAAAACTTAAGACTGTACATAACGACATTCGACTACGAAAAGTACATAACGACATTCGACTACGAAAATGCTTCATACCTTTACTCAATAAACTTGCGCGCTCCTTCTGAACCTCTGCTTCAGCCTCCTCAAAAGGATCGACAAATACTTCGGCGCGCATAAAATATACTGGCTGGAACATGTTTCATTATTCAGTCATCAAACACACAAGTTACAGCATACGTCTTTGGGCATGTCACCATCTGTCTCCACTTTTTCTATGGATATTAAGGTTTCCTGTCCTCCAACCACTCGTCCAAAGATTGTGTGTTTCTTGTCAAGGTATTTGCATGGCCGAAATGTTATGAAGCTGAAGAAATAGATTTGATGAAAAAGGACAAACATATAATGACAATGAGAAAAGAGGAACAAGACTAGAACAAACTTATTCCTTTTTATGACATAAAAAGCTCACAACTGAGATTGATTTGTGTTCGTACCCTTATTCGCCATTGAAAGGATCCCTCGCGCATCATGAGAAAGGCCCTAGACCGTATAACACTATATTCAACAAAAGTCCAAGTCATAAATAAATAAAAAATTACCGGTGCAAACTCGTCATCGAATGGTTTTCCCCAGGCTGATTCTCCACCATGACCCGTCCCCGTGGGATCACCCCCTTGCATCTGAAACTTCTTTGAGTCAATTGCTCTCTTGAAAAATTTAGTAGTACCATGAAATTCTTTATTATCCTGTGGAACTTCGAGTTATTGTAGTACCCTCTTCGGCACAATAAAATGAAATTTTCACAAGTTTTTGGAGCTTTAGGACAAAACCTGGAAAACATTAACTGCCTAACTACATTAAACGTGGGTAAGATAGAAATACTCACAACTCGATATTCAAAGACCCATGATTAGTAATTATACGAACGTAACCATTCTTCTTCACTCGTTTATATCTGTAAAAAAATGTATTTTTAAGCACTTCCATGAGAATGCACACCTACCGAACAGCCTCATTGGATAGTACAGCTGCTTTTTGCTTAGTTATAGGTGCCATGGTAGTGGAAGTGAATCCAGCAGCTACTTGTCCTTGACTGAATTATGGGCGATTTCGGGACGTTCTCGATACCTTGAATATCATAGGATACATACCTGTAGTGTGCTGCATTGATCTCATCAGCAGTTTCTTCAGGTTCGGGCTCGATCTACAACGACGGCATATGATCAAGATCTGGTACGAGTAACAAAACAAATCAGAATACAAAAATGCAAAAAATGATTTGATTATGATCTATGTGGTTTGATGAATATGAAAATATACACAGACCAACAAGGCAATAAATGACAAGTCCGATGCAAACAACGTTAAGCATAAACCAACTTTCTTGAGAGTGTATTCCTTCTTGAGTTGATCCAAAGCCTCTTTAGTCTCGTTATTCATGCGGCGAATATAGAACTTTGGATCCTGAATGTTGTAAAAGTTCGTGGATGAGTGAAATCAAAAAAGCATAGATGAATTCGAAGGAGCAATGATAGCAAAAAAGGGAATAGGAAAGGAGACCGACCTGCATTTCCTTCTTTTCCTTCTCCAGTTGCTCTTTAGTTTTCGGATCAAATTGAACATGGTAAAACTTCTCCATATTAAACTTCTCAATATGGTTTGGATCCTAAAAATTTGCATACTTATAGGAGTTTTTAAATACGGAAATAGCAAACCTGCAGGACGATGATGTCACTTCTATGGAAAGGAGTGTCTGTGAGCAAATCCTTCAAATGGTTCGCTTTCAAATTCAGCTCCTAAATGAATTTCTTCTTTGCAAAAGGAAACCTATGCCTTTGGAGGACAAACCTGCACTGCTTCATAGGAAAACACATTACCAGTGGTTGCAATTGCCACCACATATGTGTGGTCGGTAAACTGGCGAAATGTTACTGGACAGCGGAAATGACCTTGAATTCTTCAAATAAAGTTGCTAGAACGCAGTGGGAAGGATATACGCAAAAGTTAAATGCAAGAAGTACCTTGCTCATCCTTATCAAACTTCAAAGGAATGAGTTCTTTGCTGCTTAGCTTTTTTCCTGTGCAAGGGTTGACGCCATTCTTTTTCAGATAGGGAATTATGTAACTGAAGCGGGAAGTCAAATATAACGCAAGAAGATTGATTTAGGCCAGTAGTGAACTCACGTCAAGTCAAAAATCTCCCCAGATCTCGTACAAACAGGATCTTCAAAGGGAAGTAATGAAAGAGCGCAATGAGTAAGAGGAAGTCGCTTGAACTGAGCTCGTTGTAAACGGGTACCGGTATCTAAATATAGGGCTATGAAAAAAGATAAATGCAAAAATGTTGCAAAAAGCAAAAGAAAGGATATGGAGTTGCAAAAAAAGCAAAAGAAAGGATATGGAAAAAGCTAAACAAGGTTGAAAGTTTTAACTAACTCACCATCTTTATGACCTCCAATTTCTTTCCATTCCGTGGTTGTAAGATAGCTAAAAGAACATTGAAGTACCACGAAATGCTTCAAAAACGTGAAGATCAACTCACAGCTTGTCCTTTTGGTGTTGTTTCTTGCCCATAGTACGTTGCCAATACTCCCTGCTAATATACGAAAACCAACAACGCCAAGCACGAGGTGTGAATATGGTTTTCAGTATAAGTCAGCGCTGAGGAAAGTTTTGGACGTAAGGGGCTGTAATTGCACATGCTGCCGCATATCGGACGCCTGAAAGTGTATTCTCGAAGACGCTCAAATAACACTCTCACTGGAGATGTTGAGGTCAAGTACGGTCCTAAAGTGACTATCTAAACAATGTGCATTGTTACTCTAGACAGTTTCTATTCGCCAACTGCAGTTCAATTCCTCGAAAATTAAGGGAAATGCAGATGCGGCTATCAAAGTCATTTTTCTCCTTTCTCAGTCTCCAAACTATACTCTGACATTCGTCCCGTACGAGCCGCGCGAATTTTGCGTACGAGCGGACTCCTCAATGGCCGTTCGCCCGTTAAATGCGCTCGGGTGATACGCGAATTTCGCGCCGCTGGTGCGCTGTTTCTTTGGCGCCGCCGGTACGGTAATTTCGTGCATGAATCGCTGATGTGACAATTTTATGTTGACGCCATCGATACGGCACTTTTGGAATTCACGTCCGGCTAAAGAATTGAGCAACACAGAAGTGCTATCGAATATTGTCTAAAGGACCGTTTTCCGATTATGTCCCTGCGTAAGTATACTCGTACCTATAGTTACAGAGATCCGGTACGCGGCAAACGTTGAGGAATACGTTAGCCGTGGAGCGCGCCAGCGCAATCATTGGCCGTACTGGCAAGACAGCTAATGTTGGCCCAGTTTTCACAGGTTTTTGTTCTATAACATCGTTTTGATGTTTCTTGGTCGACAAAATCTCATTTTCGTCATTTCTAAGCCAAATTTGTGCGTGATAACTTTTGCTTTTAATTTATTGAAGGCAAGTGCTTCGAAGATCTTTCATCTTTTTTGCTCAATCTAGTGAGAACAGAACTTTGAAGAATGTGGACTTCACATTTCCCATGACTAGCTTCAAAAAAAGATGTCGGGTTTGCATTTTCGATGCGTGCAACAGATGGTTGCAAAGTTTATCATTTTCAACAGTTCCGCTGACTTGAAGAATCTAGTTATCTTGGGTTTTGTGAGCATGTGCGCTCTCTTTCAAACTGCTTTTTCTGTTAAACTTCAAGTACAGCTTCAATTGGTATGCGGAAGTAGATACCATAGGAATGTTGCCTTGAATACTTTCGCGTTTGCTTCCTAATACTGATGCTGAAATTTTGCAGTTGATGATTAATGCAGAATTAAGTATCGTTCGGACGTATGCAGGAAGTGTTGTTAGAAGTTAGAAGATTTTGCCTATTCATACTTTGACGCTCGTAACGCACAAACAAAAGTTTGTGCCAGTGACTTGACGGCCTGAAATGAATCCTCAAGATCAGTTCCCCTCATATACAGGATTAATCGTGATAGTGTTTTTGTATTGGCCTCATAAGGCAAGTAGGTTTCACGAAATTTTGGAAAGAGTGGAGCTTTCATTCAACCTATCGCCACTGATAGTTCCTCTGACGAAATGAGTGTGACACTGTATCGGTTCTGAAGTTTGTCTGTTTGTGTTCTGTTTCTGTGGTACAGAAACCACGCTTGACACTCTTTCCTTGCGAGAAATATTTTGTTAAACTATCTTGAAAAAGTTGAATTCAGTGTCGATTTGAGTGAAGTCTAGTCTGTTCAAACGAAACCAACTCGTTTGGGGATTGTCTGCCATTTGAAGAAATCTAAATATCTGCATTGACTTTTCGCATAAATTGCTAGTGTTTTGTTGAACATAATAACCCTTAGTCCGTTCATCCTTGAGTGTAGAACTGCTAAACTTTCGAAACTTTACAGAAACGCATAGGAATTCCATTTTTAGTGCCAGTGTCGAAATATTCTCCTAACTATGAATCTGCAAGCCGTATCTATCCCTTTGTGGGCAGCCATCATGTGCTCTGCTGAATTCCGAGCAAAATTGGGTGCTACTTTTTTATTTGAAGTGTCTTCTACCAGTACTAGTGGGTGATCAGTTTTATGCAGCAGATAGCCAGCCAGCTCATTACAAGGAAATGTTAACGGCAAGATATTCTATTATGTTATTACATCAAGATACCATACAAATAACTAGCAAGGAACAACTACAGAACGCAAACAACAACAGCAAAAGCAACGTAAGTACATTGAGAGAGTCACTCGATTGCATCTGGCTTCTCAACATTTTTCCAAAGAAAGACAACTTTGGAACAAATGCTCTTTTGTTTTTTCCCTCCGAATCAGGCAAAAATCTACATGGGGGAAATCCCTTCGAAGTACACCTGAAAAATCCCCCCCCCCCCGGCCAACTTTAGCTGTCTCGCCAACTACGGCCAATGATTGCGCTGGCGCGCTCCACGGCTAACGTATCCCTCAACGTTTGCCGCGTACCGGATCTCATAGTTACAAATGGCTGCGAAGAGCGCGCCCCATGACCCAATGCAAATTTGACCGGCGCGCAGGGCGTTTGCTGTAAGAGCGTGAATTCAGTCACAGATGTCTACTATTTGAGCTACATAGGCCCCAGAGAAGATCCATTGTTAACAGCTTATCAATGAAACGAGCTGGTACCGAGGACTTCATTGAGCCGGCGGCACAAGTTGATGGAAGGATAAAGATACATGGCTGACATTTTTCTGTGAACTTTTTGCATGAATTTTTTCGTACGACCTTTTTCTAATAGCAGTTTCATGCAGTATAACTCCGTTTCTTGATGCTAAAAAATGGAAAGCCTTGTGTAGGCCCCCTCCCTTAGTTTTTACTTTGCTTGTGTTTTTAAGAAAAATCTGGCTACTTTGTTGCGCACTCGAAGAGCAATTTTGAATCCACATCTCGTTTCTTATACTGAATGGAAAGTATCTGTATGCTCTGATGTGATCTAAAACAACCATGAAAGGTGGATCCTTCGTTAAACAACTCAGGCTTTCTTTTCATCTGTCACAAAAATGACTTCAATTCATTATACTGCATGCATAAGGAGTTTTGGTTATGGCTTCATGAAAAGCACTTTTATCTTCAGTGCGTCGCAATAGCTGTCTAAGGAATGCGCTAAGATGAGGAGTCAAGGACAAAGAAACAAGAGGTGTTTGAATCTTATAGGTACTTCTCAAGGACCATACCTATGCTGCGCACATCCCATCTGTGAGATAATGAACGAAGATACGTACCCTTTGATTCAACTGTCTTGGCGCATGAAAGGAGGGGCCAAGCCAGTTGGAACAAAGAGTAACCAAAATCGACAAACAGGTAATATGCTGGACAGCGTGATAACGCCCTACCCAAGCTGGAGGTACAAAAGCCTGTTACCTAAGCTGCCGAAACTGATGTACACAGTGGTTTTCACGAACAGTTAAGCAATCAAAATCCATCTGTACTTACAGTGCTCACCCGCAAGCTACTACCCTACAGGGAATAGAAAACTTGAAAACGCTTTGTGTCTGCAAGTTGTCTGAACATGCTCGAATTTGTTTTATCCAAGTATTAAGGCAATAAAAATGAAACATGTCACAAGTGCTTGTTAAATGGAAGCGTTCTTGAGTCTTCTAGTCTCAGAATGAATGATACTTACCTCCTAGCACTTGGATCTGCAGCTTTCTTCGTCTTATGGAGGCCGTGACATGTTCAGTAGAAGAGGCTCCCTGTTTACCCACAAACAAATCACTACTTTCATATCCGTGCTAAGTTCTTGGGGACCGCCTTGACGATTAATGATCTTATTGGCAAGATACGAAAGGTAGATCATCGCACACGTTTGCAACTGCACTTCTTCTTTTGATTCTTTTGCAAAAGAAGTCGTTCTCCCTTTACAGTCACTTGTTTCGCGCTCATAGTTATAGGGTGTGCGCGCTTAATCGCCAGGGTTCCCGTAGGGAACCGAGATTTGCGCTGGGACATGGGGCGCGCTCTTCGCAGCCATTTGTAACTATAGGTACGAGTCGTAAGTATTGTAAACACATTCACGCCCATTAGCATTGAGGGCAGCGTAACCACTGCGTCGTACCTTACGCAGATATCCTTTACGCTTATAACGTGTGAAAATTGCGCTAACTTTTTGTGCACTTAAACATGTGAAAATTATAACCGATTGCATAAATAATGACCGCGCACAAACTCAAACGTCTTTCTTTGACTATGGTAGCCGTGAACACGTGCCTGAAGAGCTGCGGAAGCTTATTTAGTGGTATTATCTACGCGGCTCGTACGTTTGAGGACACGCGGCTGGTACTGCTTGTCAACTACGCGCCGCTCGTCACTCTGAATTGCGCGCCGCTCGTACTCAAATCCGTCTGTATCGCGCCGCTCATACGCTCGACAGGCGCGGGTCGTAGGAATCGTTATTTTTGCGCGCCGTTCATTCGAGAATGTCAGAGTAGTAATACTCGTTTCAGAACTCATGATTATCTTCAGCGCTGCTCATTCTTGCCACAAAATTTTGAGATCGTGATCTCCTCAAACGCGGTTTAGGGTCGATCAGTTGATTCTGAATAATATTTGACTAGCGACGCTGCGGGTCGCTATAAGTGGATCGAAGCACATGTTTAGAAAGTTTGTGCATCTCAATGACATCTTCCTGCATTTTATTTTACTTGGAGAAAATTTCCAAATCATCAAATTTGCTCCAAGTAGATCCCCTATCGGGTGGAAGCATATGAAAAAGTTTTCTGGACTGAAACTCTACCCTGAACTTTGAGCCTTTTTGGTTTGCGGGACTCGTCAATAACTCGCTTCTCTACAAGTATAGGTGAGGTTTCCCCACGAAAACGTCTACAAAGCAGATTTTTGATGAGACATTGGAATGTCTGTGAAATGAACGCGCTTCCCGAAAAAGTTCCTCTCGCTCAAAAGCATGACCTCCATCAATGAGATCCTCACTCACACGCTTCGCTTTCAACAAGAAAGAACAGAATTTCCTAAGTGAGCGCTCTCAGAACAATGTTTTCTACAGGTTGCGATCAGAGGTGCGATAGGGGGAGCCAAGTCTCCCCCTACCTTCACTTTTGAGCTGATACAGAGTGACCACCTTCACTTTTGCGAAAAATTTTTTGTTGAATATAAAGAAGGAAAATAAGTAAAACAAACGCAAAAGGGATTATTGAAGGCATATACATATGTATTGCAGTTTTAGGAACTCGCCGTCACCCATCGGAAGCGAAGGCCATCACCGCCATGGACGCATCCACTTTTCCGCCTTTCCACGAAATCGGAGAAGATAGCTCCGGGACGAATTTCGATTTAAAAAGCTATGACCAAACGGTCCTCTTTAGGGCCAACAATTGACCC